AAGAAGTGCAGGTCAAAGTGTTTAAGAAGTTAAGATCTATGATGAATGTAAATAGCCTAGAAGATACAATAAATTAGGTGGTGTATTGAGATTATAATTCCTTGTGTCAAAGCAGCAATATGTTGCTCGACAGAAACAAGGGTGTGTCGAACTAGCCTAGTGTGTCTGTCGAGTTGTATTAGATGTCGAAGTGTTGAGAAGGTTGCTTCACACATGATTTCCACTCAGGCCAAAATATGTATTTTTGGCTTTAGCTTAGGGAGAAAACTAACCTAAAACTATAAATAGAGGATGTAACCTCTATTTTATAATACAATGAATAATATTGAAGTTTGCATAATAAAGGGCATATAGTTTACTCTGCAGAATTCACAGACTCTTCTTCCGGTTGGAGCAAAGCACAAAATAAAGGCGATATGGTTACCGGTTATGAACAAGATAAAGAAGAGGTTGTCATCTTGGAAGAGCAGGTTCTTGTTAGTGGGAGGTATAGTGAAATTAATCAACTCGGTTTTGAATTCATCGCAATTTACTTCATTTCCTTTTTCAAAATTCCAAAGGTTGTATTGAAGGAGTTTATTAGAATTCAGAGAGAATTCTTATGGTGTGGAAAAACTGATAAAAGTGGTATTGTGTGGGTTAGTTGGGAGGAGGTTTGCAAAAGTAAGAAGAATAGTGATTTGAGGATTAAGAGCATTGAGGCCTTTAATGAATCATTGTTATGCAAATGGAAGTGGGGATTTCTAGTGGTTAAAAAAAAACTCTTTTGAGACCTCTACTTACTTCTAGATACGGAGCATTGGATTCAAGTGTGCTTGGTGGGAAGGTGGAGTACAATGTGAAGAAGACCTCACTCTGGTGGAGGGATTTATCTTTTGTTGGTTCAACAACGTCACACAACTTAAACTTGTTCTTAGATTGTATTTCTTGCAGGTTGGACGATGGTAGGAAATCCTTGTTATGGAAAACCACTTATATTGAGGGCTCACCACTTAGGAGGTTATATCCTATTCTTTTTAATACCTCATCTTACCTGGATGCTACAGTGGGAGAGATGTGTTCTTTTGTTAGGGAATGTTGGTGTTGAGATTTCATGGGGCTTGATGGAGTACTGTCAGATGTAGCAACAACATAGCTGTTGGAGTTGAGAAACATACTTTCACACATTCGTCCAACTTTAGGGGTAGACAATACTTTTATTTGGTTTCCAAAAGGGACAGTTTCATATTCGGTTAGTGGTGCTTACAAGGAATTCACACGTAATGGAAGTCCATTGTACTCTTTTAATGTAATGTTGTTCCTTTACTTATAAAAAAACAAACTCTTATTCCTTTGTTCAAACTCTAACTTCTTCTTTTCCTCAATTCTATTTTCTTTCTTTCTCCATTATTAACTGCTACGCATAATCATCTTGCAATTAAGGTTGATTGATTCATTCAAGTGAAGAGTGAATAACAAGAGATTTTGATCGGGTTGATTGAATCTTATTTATCAATGTTGATTCAGAATTACTCAAAGTGTTAGGTTTAATTGCAACATATTATACCCATATTTATTATTTTTCACTTTATTCATCTATTCTATTAACTACAATTAATAAATATATTTTAATAAATAATATTAATTTTATTTATTAAAATCAATACAACTAATTTTTTTTTAAAAAATGTAGATTATTCAAATACGACATTTTTACGAGACTGAGCGAAAAGCTTTTTCCTTTATCTATGCTTTTGTCTCAATATTTGCTCTTGCGTAAGAGAAAGAAGACTAATACTATTTGGTTTGTATGTTACAAAGTTAATTTTTAACGGATGGAATCTAAGCACATTTCAAAAGAGATTATTTTTCGTTGAAAAAATAATTTATTTATTTACCTAAAAACATATTTTTACTAATATTAAAATGGATAAAATTATTTGATATTGACGTGCAATAAAATATGCAAAAAATGTAGATAACAACTTATATAATGTGAGAAAAAATTAACATGTGTTTCAAGAGCACATATTAATAAATTATTTATAAAAATATTATTTTATAATATTTTAAAATTTTAAATATAATTTTATTATATTTAATTTTTTAAATTATAATATGTTTAAGAACACATATTAGGATTATTCTATAATATTTAATTGTCTTTGAAATAAAATATATGTGTATTTAATATTATCCTATAATTTATATGTATGTACACTCATTGATGTCTGGATTGTCTCCGCCCGTGACTGGTGAACATACTATAACCCACAATTATAATACTCGTAGCTAAACAAGTGTAATTAGATGCAGGTTAATTAGTGTTTTCGCTGTTTTATTTTATTTAAGTTAAAAATAATATTTTTTATGTACTAATACAGTGTAAAGATATGGTACACTCTTAATTAGTAATATTACTTATATTTAAATTTTAATTAAATTGAATTTTTATTTTAATTATATTAAAAATATTAATTATAAATGTGTGTTTCTATTGGTAGTGAATATAATTAATTTTGACAAGATTAAATTAGTTAAAATTAAATTTTTTTAAATTGATTTTAATTTATATTTTAATATATTTATGTAAAATTAAGTTGGACAATAAATTTTAATATAAATATAAAATTTAAATTTAAAACTATAAATTTTAATTTCAAATACAATTAATTTTAAAAAAACTAAATATCTCAATGAATTTTACATTTTTAAAATTACTTTTAACCTTTTCAAAATTCAAACTGGATATGCTATAAATAATTGTGATTCTAAACTAAATAAAAGTTTTTAAACTTATAAATCAATAAACCTAAAGTATCTTTGCAGTTCCATGAGCGATTCATAATTCATATCTTATAATGAAGTAAAGTACAAGAGGTTCAAGTTTCACATGTCTTGTCTTTATCTATAAATAGCCAGACTAAAATCTTTGAAATAAAACAAATTAACATCACTGCATAAATACTATTCATTCTATTTTAAAATTGCTATCGTATAAAGAAATAAAATTTATTTTAAAATAATTTTTATTTTTATTTATTAATATAATAATTACTATTTTTTTAATTGTGTCATTTATATTTTATTCTATATATTATTTTAAATATATTATAGCTTAATTTTATAAAAGTATAATATTATATAATAATATCATTGTATTATTTAATTTATGTGCAAAAGCTTTATACTACTTTCTTTATTTCACAATAAATAATTCATTTGAAATAAAATAGTATTTTAAAATAAATGATTTATTTCAATTTTTAATATATTTTTTCTAATTCTACCTCTAATTAATTATATTTTCATTATTTATAATATATAATTAAAAATACTATAAAAAAATATTCTCTTTTTACATTTTTTTTTATATTTGTCTTAATGTGTGAAATAGTAGAAAAATCATTCTTATAGGGAGGGAGTACGACCCATAATAATTTTATGAGTGTCTGATAAAGATTCGTCACCCCAATCGTCACCACCACCCATATATAACAAACGTACCCTAACCTATCACATCACATTTTCTCTCCATTCCCTAGTACTGGTGCATTTCACGCGCCACCATTACCATGGCAAAAAATCACCCAAACCACCGCTTCCTTATCATCTCATACCCTATACAAGGTCACATAAACCCCGCCCTCCAATTCGCCAAGCGACTCACTACTTTAGGCGCACGCGTCACTTTTGCTACAACGATCTACTTACACAGTCGCCTTGTCAACAAACCAACCATCCCCGGCCTCTCCTTCGCCACTTTCTCCGACGGCTACGACGACGGACTCATAACCAGGGAAGACACGAATATAGTCTCCTACGTATCCGAGCTTACGCGCTGCGGCTCAGAGTTTCTCAAAAGCATAATACTCTCCGCCAAAGAAGAAAATCGTCCATTCACTTGCTTAACCTACACCATCATGCTTCCTTGGGCTGCCAAGGTGGCGCGTGAGCTTCATCTCGCATCGGTGCTACTGTGGATTCAAGCAGCAACAGTTTTTGATATCTACTATTACTATTTTCATGAACATGGTGACTACATCAAAAACATATCAGAGGATGCCATAGAATTACCAGGATTGCCATTTTCTCTTAAGAGTTGTGACATTCCCTCTTTTTTATTGGCTTCAAATCCTTACACTTTTGCGCTTCCATCTGTCAAAGAACACATTCAAATTCTCGAAGAAGAAGCCAACCCGAGAATACTTGTGAACACAGTTGAGAAATTTGAATATGAAGCACTGAGAGACGTTGATGTTGGTAAGATCGAAATGATACCGATTGGACCGTTGATTCCGTCTGCTTTCTTGGACGGTAAGGATCCTTCGGATACTTCGTTTGGTGGTGATGTTATTAGTGTCAATCCGGAGGATAACTACCTTAAATGGTTAGATTCAAAAGATGAACTGTCTGTTGTTTATGTTTCATTCGGTACTCTTGCTATTTTGTCTAAGAGACAAATGGAGGAAATTGCACGTGCGTTGTTGGGTTCTGGATTACCATTTTTATGGGTGATTAGAGATACAAAATCACAGAAACAAAAAGAAGAAGATGGCCATGGTGATGATGATGATGAGTTAAGTTTTAGGGAGGAACTTGAGAGGAATGTTAATGGAAAGATAGTGAAATGGTGTTGTCAAGTGGAGGTTCTGTCGCATAGTTCAATAGGATGTTTTGTGACGCATTGTGGATGGAATTCAACGTTGGAAAGTTTAGGTTCAGGAGTTCCTATGGTGGGGTTTCCTCAATGGACAGATCAAACTACTAATGCAAAGTTAATTGAAGATGTGTGGGGGAGTGGAGTGAGGATGGGTTGTGATGAGGAAGGGATATTGAAAGCTGAGGAGATTAGGAGGTATTTGGAAGTGGTTATGGGGAAGGGAGAAAAAGGAGAGGACCTTAGGAGGAATGCTAAGAAATTGAAGAGTTTGGCTAGGGAAGCTGTGAAGGAAGGAGGGTCTTCGGATAAGAATTTGAGGAGTTTTTTAGATCATATTGGATGTGTGAGTGATAGATAGTTAGCTCTTGTTTTATTTAGCTATTGGGATGTTAATTTTAAGATAAAAAGATTATGTTTTAGTTTATCCCAATAATGTTTCACTTAGTAGTAGGCTTGGCTTTTAGTGTTGAATTTGGTTTGAAGATGGGAAATGCCCTTATTCATTTGTTTGTCAATTTGTTTATACTCTTTTTATTTTATCTATTGAATGAAGATGTTTACTATAAAAAAAATAATGCACATGTTGTATGCCAAGAAAAATCTTTTCAAAAAGTTATACCACTTTGTGATTAGTTCTTCATAACCATATCTTCCTGAACCTTTGACCCAAAAATTTGACACTAAACTTTGATATAAATTACATTATTAGTATTGTTTAAATAAAATTTATTAACTAAACATATGTTCTTAAAAATCTACGTTAATTGCATTCAAAATTACTATTAAATATATTTAGTAAATGATTAACTAGAACATGGCCCATCCTTTGCATAGGTTTTTGTTCTGGATTAGTACAATGACTAGAATTGATTCAATCCGTTTTTACTTTTTTCATGGTCCAATAACGCTGGTCCAGTAGTTCTGAACCTCCTGTCGGACATCCCTGGTCGACCACATCCCTTGAGCGGCAAGACCAACGGTGTCCAAGACACACTCATGCTCCTGCTGGCAACCACCTCCTAGTCTGCTCGACGCACGTAGGGAAGACACTCAAGAAACGCTCATAAATGCTTTTGCCCATAATCTCTTTCGTGCTCGGTACAACGGCTAGTTACGGGCACGACTTCCCGTTTTGACCAAATCCTGACAATTACATTTTTTTGAGGAACCTAATATCTAGACACAAAAATAGCAACCAATGGCTAAGTGCCGGAAGCATTATATAAACCCTCACATTTGTGAGGGCCAAATATCTGATATCCACACTAAAAACCCTAATATTTTTCTTGTATCTCTTTGCACACATTCTTACTTGATCGTCAGAGTGTATTGCAGGCACACCCCCTCCCCTCCTCAACATTTCATCCAAGTAGACGTCATCCTTCGACCCACTTTCAGGTTCTGATCAATCAGTAAGATCAGTGATACCGTCTGTGAGAAACTATATTCTTTGTCTTCCTTTTTCTCAAAACCGAAGACCAAAGATACCTTTACGACTTCAGTCATGGTCGACTATGATGACCACCACCTTTCTGAAAAGACTATATTCTCTCCCATCCACAAGACAGATGAAAGCCGAGAGACGGCCGAACAACATCCCCAAATTCGGTCGATATTGAACACAACAATCTCCAATTCTTGGACGATCAGAGATCTAAGAACTCCACCGAGGAGCTGCCAAAAATCCTTTAACCAGTTCCTATTCCATAAAATACCGACCCGGCCATGGCAGCGCTGCTCGCTGCCCTCAATCAAACCAACACCTTAATCTTACAGCAGAGCAAGATGATTGGGGCTTGGGAGAAGAAGCAATCAAAGTATCCTTCTCGAAGACACCGACGTTATGACTCCAACAGTCCATCACCACCAAGATGTGACCGTCTTCCCATACGAGAGAGGAAAGAGGTTTCTTTCCTCAAGAAATGAGGTCACACACCTCTCCGTAGAGATTGGCGCTCCCCGACGTCTAAGAAAATGAAGAACGACCAGTGACTTGACCGTGACTGTTCTTCGTCGCCCAAGTCGAGGAGCATCTAAGAAGACCTCTAACCAAAGAGATGACAACCCCCGTCGAGGAAGAAATAATTATTCCCCGCATGCTTCTCGTGGCCCGTTATCCAGAGAGATCATAGAGACCTGCTTTCTGTCGATCTCGAGAAACCCCCACACTTGGGGAAATACATCGAAATAATAGTTTCAGAAGAGCACATCGAAAACATCGATGTGCTGCTCGACTATAAGGGTTGTCAGGGAGCAATCAAGTGTCGACTGTTCCCAATGACACTCAGAAAGGTAGCCATGGCTTGGTATTAGAGCCTCCCTGATGAGTCCATCACTTCATGGAAGGGCTTAGGGATACAATTCTCTAGGCATTTCACGGTATCTCACCACCATCCCAAGTCAGAAGCTGCGCTCGAGGCCATCATCCAGGGGAAGGATGAGACCCTCAGAGCATACATTGAAAGGTTCAACCAAGAAGCCGTCCAAGTCACCACGATCGACGGGATGAAAAAGTACCTCATCAAGCGAGGCTTGCACCCTCACATTGATTTCACCAAGGCAGTTGACATTGAGACTCCTACGATGCTGGATTCCCTTCTGCTCAAAGCATAAGCGTACATCCAGTACGAGGAGAAAGAGAACGCTAATAATGCGAGAGACTCGTGGCATCATGAGAATGCTAAAGTCTCAAAGAATGATGAGCCATCAACATTTCGTTGGGGAGAAGAAAAGAAGAGAGAGGATAAATCCCGTGATTCTAAAGACTACCGGGGCCAATTGGTTGCTTCCATGACTACACCCCCTCAATGCTTCGCACGAGCGAATTCTGACAGAATGCGCCAATTCAGAGTTTAAGCAAGCTGGGGTACACTTTCCCTGTCAAACACCGTCCAAACTTGGGACGGACAAAAGCAAATAATTCCGATTTCAAAAAAGTCACGGGCATTATACAGACGACTGCATCCACCTGAAGGATGCCATCGAGATACTCATCTGAGATGGGAATCTAAAACAGTACAAAAAGAAGGAAGGTGCCCGCAGAAACTTATTGCACCCCAAAATTTACCCTCTTGTTTTTATAATTTTAAAGGCTTATGTTTCATCATATGCATTCATATATTGTGATAGGATCAAGGTATCTCTGGTTCTTATGATCTTCTACAAGCTATTGAAAGGGAGTTATGTTGACAATCAGTGCAAGGAGGGTCTCATGCCCTCAATATCTGAGTCTCTCAAGCTATAAGGGTTTCTAATTCCTCAATAAATCTAAATTGTCTTATTGATTCATCAGAAGTATGAATGTGCAAGAGTATTGAAGTGAATCACTGTTCTCCTATTCATCTCTTGAGATTAGGGTTTTGGCCAGATGAAATGTTTAATGCATGTGTAGGCCAAATTTATGAAGCAATATCCTCTCATTGTCATATGAGGCATCTTTGTTCAAAGAATTTCTCATCATGTTCCTTGGAATTAGGGTTTTGGAAGCTTTGATCATCATCTCCTAACACAAAGAGCCAAAACTAGGGTTTTGGATTTAATTAAGATTTCTCTGCGTTTTTTTACTCAAACTTGCTTCCATGATTCTCTACATACCCCCAAGCATCTATTATTGAAGAATTGAGTATCAGTTTTGGTGGGAAGAGATTCAATTTATCAATTGGGGGTAAAACAGTCATTTAAGCAAAAGTCAACAAAAGGCAACTGTTGACCAAGTGGACTTTTAATCAAATTTAAGGTCAATGATCTTGTTTCAACATCATATGGCCTACCATTAAAGAAATGCAAGAGAGATGGATTTTGAAGTTAACTTGGTCATGAAGGTATCTTGGTAAAATTTGAAAATTTTCTAAGTATGGGAACTCATAAGGCTAAATTTCGAAAATTCATAACTTATTCATTTCTTATTGAAAATGTGCAAACTTTATATGGGTAGAAATAGACAAATAAGATCTACAACTTTGTCAATGTGATCCCATGGCCAAAATTTGATTATTTTGAGAGTTATGGTGCATAGAAAGTCTTGACATTTAGTAAAAAGCTCAATTCTTCATGACCATTTTAAGAATTCATTTGAACTCAAATCAAGAAATGATCAACATGAGAGTTAAAGTTCAAAGCCTCCTCTTCAACTTTGATTCAAAGATTGCAGCAAATGATGCACCATAGAGAGATATAATGATTAGGTTTTGAAGCACCAAAATGACAAATTGCTAAGAAAATAAGCCCATGCATGCGTACCAGGCCAGGACTTTCATGAAACAACTTTTGGGCATATGTTCATAACCATTTTTCTTATTGAATCACACATCATTATGTAAAGTGATCAACATAAGAAATGAAATTTGAAGCTTCCCCTTCAACTTTGATTCAAACTTTGTTGAATTCAGCGTGTTGAGGAGGAAGATATTATGTTTTGGATTTAAGGGCTCAAGTTGCTAAATCCTGGCAAGCACGATAAGGCTCACACACGCAGGAAGCCTCAACTTTGCCTGGACAGTCGAAATTACATCATTTTTGTGCCAGTTTTTCAAAGCCTTACAAGCCTCACTTTCAATTTTCATTAAGATCAATATTGAAGCATATTGTCCCAGCTTTTCAATGATCCTAAGTTTGTGAAAAACACACGAGGGATAAGAGAGATATGGAGTTTTGGCTATGGCTGACTTCATGGTCATGCAAGACAAGAGTCAAGATTGGATTTTTGTACATTTATGAGAATTGGCTACATGGTCCTTATCATGCACTTCATGCACATGCCTCATGATTTGTTTACATCATTTTCTTTCCCTAAAAATCTAAACAAGCCCCATGATATGCATGCTCACAAATTCCCTCAATTTTGCCAAAAAAGGAAACTTTCCCTCCACTCTTGCTCTCACCCATGCGCTCATCTACCAGCTCACTCCCTCATGCATACCTCACTCTTTTCACTCTCTATTTTTTCCTCAAAACGCAAGTAACATCACAAATTTACAACACAAAACACAAGTTGTCTTCACACTTTCTCAAATTTTCATTTTTTGACAATATAGCCCTCCAACTGATCTTTATGCTCAATGAAACTCTTTCCCTCACCTTAAACTCCCTATTTGAACACTCTCCATTCATTCATTCCTCACACGCACGAGCTCAACCCTCTGTCAAGTCAGATTTCTATATGTCTCATTTTTTAAGCAATTTCCTTCAAAGCTCTCAATCTCCTTGCTCCAGATCTCAATTCTTAGTCGTTTCCATTCATTTGAGGTTAAATAAAGAAGATCAACAAGGTTTCTTGCTCTTGAAATCATAGGCTTAGTGAATTTATTTTTCACTTTGAGGTAAGCTTATTTGAACTTCAAATTTTCATTTCAGCTTGAA